GCTATTTGAATGCCAATCGCGACATCTGCCAATGGTACTGAACGGAGGGAATATCAAATTGAAATTTGTCCGGATTTTGGCGACGCACCCTGTATATTTAGGACACAGATAATTATTAACTATACAAATAACAAATTTGGACAGATTTAAATGTCGGTCACCTTCTTACATTCTTGTTTAAAAACCTATAAAGTGCATTCAAAGATTAAAAGTATCTATAGTAATATACACTGGCTCAAAAAAGTATTTGTACACTTACATTTACAAATAATGCACATAATAGTTTACAGTTGTATATCTTATAATGGAAATTTAGCATTTCTTGAAGAAATTATGAAGGCTCAAAGACATATCGATGTGTCGCAGGATATTTTACTACAGAGTGCAAGATTAAAAACTTGTTTTGTATTAAAAACTTCAAGAAAATTGTGTATATTCTATGTAAAACGCCAGTGTACTACTCATTTTTTGAGTATAAAATTTTCGTTGTTTTTTTTTTTTTACTCCAAATACAATATTGAGAGTTCTTGAAAAATACTGCTTCCGTACATTATAAGGCATTAATAGACATATTTCGTATTACTATATTATTTCATTATATAAAAATAGTTTAAACAATGTGAGTGTACAAATACTTTTTGGATTCACTGTACATGTATTACTATACATCTTATTATCTATCATCTCGTCTTATATACGTTATTCTTACAAGATACGTGATTACTCCGCATTGTGCTTACGTAAGTGAAAAACATGCGTGATGTGTTACATATATATATATATATATATATATATATACATACATATATTCATACACACATATATATACAGTGTGTGCCAAAAGTCCCGGAACGGTCAAATATTTTGAAAACCAAGCATTTTAGAACAAAATGGTTCAAACAACAGTTTTAGGGTTTTAAACGTTCTATTAAATAAATATACCCAATTGACCTTGAGTGGATAGATCAAGGTCACATCAAAGTCACCACAATTTTTTTCACTAAAACAACCTATTTTTTATCATGCAATGTTAAAACTAACTTCAAGACCTTTCCAAAACACTAGTTGATTACCAATTTCTATTAAGAATTGCTTTAAGTATGAGCTTTAGAAGTTACGATGCCGCCAGCATTAGAATTATCCTGGATGCACCGCGTGGAGGTTGCATGGACGGACTTTACATGCTTTTTTGCGCGCGCGCGCGCGTGTGTGTGTATGTGTGCGCGCGCGCGCTCTTGTGTATAAGTGGATAAATCTGCGCGCGCATATGCATGTGCGTGCGTGCGTTTATGCGTGTGTATTACTGTGTTTTTGTTAGTGTGTGAATTTGTGTTAGATGTTTAGTTTCTCAGATGCTCAAATTGATGTCCTCCGACTTCCTAGCATTGTCCCAGTCGTACATAAAAGCTATTGATCACATTTTGCAGTTGATCGCGTGTGATGAGAGTTACCTCATCACGAATGCGATTTTTAAGATCTTGAAGATTTAGAGGTTTTGTAGCGTACACTTTACTTTTTAAATGACCCTCAAAAAAATAGTCTAGAGGATTCAGATCAGGTGATCTGGGTGGCCACTTTAATGTACCTCTTCTACCAATCCACTTTTCTGGGAAAATGTGATCGAAAAATGCACGCACTTGCAAGCCGAAATGAGCAGGAGCCCCATCTTGTTGAAACCACACATTATCAAATTCTTCGCCGAATAATTGTTGAATTGCAGGAACAATTCCATTTTGTAATAATGTCAAATAGTTTTCAGCATTCAAGTTACCGTCAATAAAAAAAGGACCTATTATGTTATTCCCACTTATTCCTGCCCATACATTTAATTTCTGGTGATATTGTGTATGATTATCCCTCATCCAGTGAGGATTTACATTACTCCAATATCTACAATTGTGGCGATTAACATTCCCATTCAGTTCAAATGTGGCTTTATCTGAAAATACTATTAAATTAAGAAGATTATTGTTTTCGTCAATACGCATCATCATCTGTTTACAGAACTCAAGTCTCCTATCAAAATCATCTTCCGCCAACTGATAAACCAGCTTAATTTTGAATGGATGAAAACGATGTTCTTTCAAAATTTTACGGATTGAAGTTTTACTAATACCACGCATATGTGCAGCTTTTGATAAGGATGTGTGAGGATTCTCCACATAAGATTGCAAAACTTCCAAACTGTTGTCAGCATCCGTTGCAGTTCGAGGTCTTCTCGAACGTGGTCGATCATTTACAGATCCTGTTTCTGCAAATCGTGATACTGTTCTCTGAACAGTAGATTTTAAAATAGGCGCGCAAGCAGGAAATGTGTTGTTGAACAAATCAGTAACTTCAAAGCAGAGATGTGCATTATTTAGCAGAGCGCTCACGCACATCAGGCGCGCGGCTCACTGACGTGCGTTCGGCTGAAGGTCGGAGCTGATTGGCTTACTTTATTCAATAATTACTCCTTTATCATATGTAATAGAAAAAAATGGTTCAGGACTTTTCGACTCAGAATAATCTCTTCTACCTGCCTACGAGTGGTTATACGGTCATTATCAGACACCTTGTATATATATATATATACATGTAACACAAACGCCGCGCAACCGAATGAACCGACATATTCTAGCAACTGGTGTCGACGCAGCATGTATTCCGCAACACTATAATAAGCGATATTACAAATGTAATATAAATATTCTCAATGATTTCTCAAGTCACGTTGCACTGCAACATAGAAATATTTAGAAAATAAAAACATCTTTGTTGAAACAAATACCTTTATAATAAAATATATCACAATAGATAGTTTCTTATATAAGAGATGAAAAAAATTAATTTTGGAAACAAATTATTTCAAAATTGTATTAATGTGCAATTATATATAGACATATTCTTGCGATAAAATTGTGTATACATGTATAAATAAAGAAATAAATGGACAAATCAATGTAAAAATTTTCAATAGCGAACTAAAATCGATTCTTTCTAGAGCAAAACCACTCCTCATGTAAAGCGGCTTTGCGATTTTCTCGATGTATCTCGAAAACTACTGAGAATATTAAAAAATGTTTTATACAAAAGTTTTATGGTAAAATTACTTCTATTTATTTACATTAATAACATTGTTCAAAAAAATTTTTTTATACATGTATGAAAACATTTTTTGTTTAAATAATTTGCCTTTCAATATGTTACTATAGTTAAGTAGAGGACATTTTTAAATAAAACTTTTGTATGAAACATTTTTTGATATCTTCTATAATTGTCGAGATAAATTGAAAAAAGTAAAAAATCGGTATATGTATAAAGGGTGACTTCATCCCTTAAAACTGTTTTTGGGCCGCAACGGAATACGTCAACATTCATCTATTGACCTCCCCTACATGTGTGCAAAGTTTCATCAAAATCAGAATTTTCCACTTCACGAGGTTCTCTTGTAAGTAATTTTTTTATGTATCACGCACATTTCTCATTTTTAGTCTTGCACTTATGAGGTCTCCTTTAGCTTTACCTGTATGATTAACATCTGCAACAAATAAAATGGTAGAAAAGATTAGAAGAAAGAAAACAATAGTATCTAAAAAATACTGTGAAGTGAATTGTATACAGGGTGCGGCGCCAAAATCCGGACAAATTATATATGTTTTTCTAAATATGTTTTATTGCTACAATGAAAAGATTTACAAAATTTGTTTAGCTCCATTGTTTGTAAGGCCATAAATAATATATTCACTCAATATATCCCCGGCTTGCTTGAATGATCGCCTCCATTCTCGGTCTGAATCGTGCGCAGGCACGCTTTAATGCGTCACGGTCCATATCGGTGAATGCCGATACAATAGCGGCTCTCAATGATGCGACGTTTGGATGTCTGGACTTGTTCGTG